TGGAGGATGTAGGGAGGCATTCTAGAAGTTCTAAGGGGGCACTCTGGAGGTATTAAGTTAGTACCTCCAGAATGTCCCCTTACATCCTCCTGTAGAGTACCCCTTAGTGCCCCCTTATGTCCTGGTCCTCCAGAGTGCCCCATTTTAAATACTTACTGGTCTGGCCACAACTCATGAGCAGCTGGTGGTTAAACATTTTGTGCGGCGGGTTGTATGAATTTAAGCCACGTTCCACTCTGCTCATAAGTCACACAATAGGATCCTTCAGAATGGAGAGTGGGGGAAGGGTCCGGTAAATATGTCACATTTACCAGCCCCTTCCTTTTTCTGAATGAACACAATCAGTGATTGGTACACTGTGTTCATTCATAACTGAAGCATAGTAAACTGTGGGGGTTTTTTTTTTTTAGGAGGGCCCTGTCAGGTTGGCTGTATGGGGCCCCATGATTTCTAACAGCAGCCCTGCCTGTCAGGTATGCTGTATGGGGTCCTGTGACTTCTAACAGCAGTCCTGGTGTACGGTGTATGAACTGCAAGAGCATCAAGTCCGTTATGTGCAGCGGGGTCCAAAGGGGTGATCACTATATGTGGAGTTAGTACATTTTTTTCTTTTTTTTCATGAAACTGTGAGCTTACCTTGAAGCTACTACTTGTATTTAAAACTAATTTTAATAATGTAATTCATGAAAACAGCACAGGAATAATTTGTGTCTTTTATATCAAATTTATAATTGTCCATGTTTTATATAAAAAGTTTTAGGAAAGTATCAAGTGTAGGTGCTTATAATTTCATTTGATTTGCTTGTCATGCAGACAATAGCGATGTTAAAAAACATAAATAGATGAATAAACAGAACAACCTTCAAAGCTTAACTCAAGGCACATATAAAATTCACAAATCTATTCAGCTCTATAATCATTAATTGAATAATGTATTAAATGTATTTCAATATTTTTAAATGCAACCAGTGTAAGTAACTGAATCTGACCTGGTATCAGCCTGCTGCAGTTCCTGTACAGTAGAGCTGAAGAGTGAGAGGAAGAAGCAGCTCAGGGGGCCAATCCGTTCATGTGCTGACAAGAAGAATGCTGATAGGAGGAAAAAGCACGGCAAAAGATGAAATCATCATCATGCTGATTCTTCTTTTACTATCCAATCACTGGATGTAGTGGGTCCAGGATGACCCATCACAGCCTCTGGGTTCAGAAGTGGATTGAAGATATTGGCTGTCAAACTGAGTAGATCTAGCAACAAAAGAAAAAAAATGGAAGAAATCGTTGTATTTGAAGTGAATTTTGCAGCAAAAGTGTATTTTGTTATTTTATCTTTTAATAGGCCATTCATTTTATCTCACTGTTTTCAGTCTAGATTTCTGCTTTGAAAAAAGAACCATGGTCATACTATGAACATTCATTTTTTTACATGCATTACACTGCAGCTCAGCTCCTTCTGCTGCTCCCTTCCAAAAGTAACTCTGCAGCTCAGCTCCTCTTGCTCCTCCCTTCCAAAAGTAACTCTGCAGCTCACCTCCTCCTACTCCTCCCTTCCAGACGTAACCCTGCAGATCAGCTGCTCCTGCTCTTCCTTTCCAGAAGTAGCTCTGCAGATCAGCTCTTCCTTTCCAAAAGTAACTCTGCAGCTCAGCTCTTCCTGCGCTTTACTTCCAAAAGCAACTCTGCAAATCAGCTCCTCCTGCTCCTCCCTTCCAAAAGTAACTCTGCAGATCAGTTCCTCCCTTCCAAAAGTTGCTCTGCTGATCAGCTCCTCCTGATTTTCCTTTCCAGAAGTAACGATGTAGATCAGCTCATCCTGTTCCTCTCTTCCAAAAGTAACTCTGCAGCTCAGCTCCTCTTGCTCCTTCCTTCCAAAAGTAACTCTGCAGCTCAGCTCCTCCTGCTCCTCCCTTCCCATAATAATTCTGCAGCTCAGCTCCTCCTGCTCCTCCCTTCCCAAACTAACTCTACAGCATAGTTCCTCCTGCTTCTCCTTTCCAAGAGTAACTCTGCAACTCAGTCCACCCTGCTTCTCCCTTTCTAAAGTAACTCTGCAGCTCAGCTTCTGCTCCTTCCTTCCAAATTAACTCTGCAGCTAAGTTCCTCCTGCTCCTCCCTTTCTTACAGAACTCTGCAGCTCAGCAACTCCTGCTCCCCCCATCCAAAAGTAACTCTGCATCTCAGCTCTCCTTTCTCCTCCTTTCCAAATGTAACTCTGCAGCTCAGCTCATCCTGTTCCTCCCCCAATGACAAAGCAAAGTAAAGCCTATGTCCAGGAAAGACCCCCTACCCCCCCTTGAAGAGAGGCTGCCACTGCACTGCAAAGGTTAAATGCTTGTCTGCTTGTGCTCCTCTACTCTACTCCACTTTGGCAGTAGACTACTCCTTGGCATCCTCACCTCCAATGCAGGGCTATGGGTTCTACAATGTACTTGATGGCATTTGAAGACCTGTGACCGCCAAATCAACTGTGGGGTTTTACCGCTCCCCAACCGCAAGTGTGAACGAGTCCGAACTCTGCAGGTAGCTTTTTTTTTTGCCTTGCCATGATTTAAGGCAATGCAAATTCTATAGTGTCTACCTCTCCATATTTTAACAATTTTAACCTCTTCCTGACCATCCTATAGCAGAACTACTACTACAGAGTGGCAGGGCTGCGCAAAATCATGTATATACATGGTTTTGTATTTCTGGATAGGGGACGTGCACAAACAATATAGTTCTCTCCCATGTCAGCACCAGCATGCTGCTTTGCATTGCTCTGCATAGCAGAGCAATACAAAGCAGCATGCTTACATAGTAAAACACACGCGCCACATAGTAAAACAGCACACAGTTAACCCTTTGATCACCCCAGATGTTAACCCCTTCCTGCCCAGTGTCATTAGTACAGTGTCAGTGCTTTTTATTAGCACTGATCACTGTATTAGTATCACTGGGGATTTCAGTGGCAGTTAGTCAGTTTCCCACCAGTGTCAGAATGCATCAGTCCCGCATTCCCGCTATAAGTCACTGATCGCTACCATTACTAGTATAAAAAAAATGAAAAATAAAAATTAATTTAAAAATTAATCAATTAAACCAATTAACTTACACATATTGGGATTTTTTTTTTAGCAAAGACATGTAGCAGGATACATTTTGGCCTAAATTTATGATGAAATGTCATTTTTAAAAATTTTTACTGGACATGTTTTATAGCAAAACGTAAAAAAATGTTTTCTTTTCAAAATTGTCGGTCTTTTTTTGTTATTAGCGCAACAAATAAAAACCGCACAGGTGATCAAATACCACCAAAAGAAAGCTCCATTTGTGGGAAAAAAGGACACAAATTTCATTTGGGTGCAGCGTTGCATGACTGCACAATTGTCAGTTAAAGTAACACTGCGCCGTATCGCAAAATAGCCTGGTCAAGAAGGGGGGTAAATCCTCTGGAGAAAGTGGTTAAGTGGCCTTGTGAGGCAGTTGGGAAGTGGTAAAAAGCTACCTAACTGCCTATTTTCAATGTACCTATGATAGAGCCCCGTGATTGGATAGGTTTCCAAGGCATTGGCAGTAAGTTGCAGGGGCAGACTGACCATTTGGAAACTCGGGCACTGCCCGAGGGCCCGGGGGTCAGTAGAGGGCCCTGGTACCTTTTTCATAGGTTGAGTTTGGGCAAGGACACAGGGGCCCCATGATCCCCTATTGACCGGGGGCCCCATGAGTTGTCAGTCCGCCCCTGGTAAGGTGATACGAAAGCAATATGTCACCTCCTCACCATTTGTCATAACTGCATCACACATGAATGGGTCACATTCAGTGGGCAGTACAGCCCGCCTAAGGTGACAGAGGGGTGTAATACTTGCGTGGCCTCAAAGCAAAGCATCATATTTGTGTAGATCCCCATCAGCTTAAGGGGGAGTTGATGGGGAGGGCTGTAAAAATGCAACCCCTCATGATTGTACTGCCCCCAATGGCAAGTGTAGCGCTACTCCCATTTGAGCCACTGAAAATAGCTGGTTCTTCCCTAACAGTACAAAGGCTGCCCACCACCACAAACACCCGGTCCACACACACTGGCTTCAATAATACAGTCCAGGGCAGGGGTGTCAAACTGGCGGCCCTCTAGCTGTTGTGAAATTACAAGTCCCATCTTGCCTCCTGCCTTTGGGAGTCATGCTTGTAACTGTCAATCTCGCAATACCTTATGGTACTTGTAGCTGGAGGGCCGCCAGTTTGACACCCGTGGTCTAGGGGATGTCTTCTTGAAAATTATTACTTGAAGAACAGGAGAGGGTATAGGGCAGTGATGGCGAACCCGTGGCGACCGTGCCACAGCCGGCACGCCGAGCCTTATCTGTGGGCACGCCAGGAGAATACCGTATTTTTCGCTCCATAAGACGCACTTTTTTTCCCCCAAAAAAGGGGGGAAAATGTCAGTGCATCTTATGGAGCGAATATAGAGCGGCCGGTCCGGTATTTCCACCGCCGCCGTGTCAGAATACCGGGCCGGCCGCTTTATATTCGCTCCATAAGACGCTCTGCAGTGGGACCGTACCTGTCCCTCTATCCAGCGGCGCGCTGTCTTCCTGGCTTCTGTAGTGTGCGTGACAGCCGGATCCCAAGTGCGCATGCGCAAGATGCAGTGCTCTTTGTGAATGGTAAGGCGGTACCTGGGACACATGACAGATCCCAGAAGCCGCCGGACCAATCACAAAGCGCAGCGCTTCTCGCGCATGCGCACTGGGCATCCGGCTGTCCGACGAGCGCCCACACTACAGAAGCCGGGAAGACAGCGCGCGGCTGGATAAAGGAACAGGTAAGATCAAAGGACAACTCCGCGGAAGTAAGAGCGGGTACCTGTCAAATTCAGGTACCCGCTCCCCCTCCCTCCCCAAAGGTCAGCAGTCATCTGTACTGTCCACAGTCTCTGGTCATCCCTGTACTGTCCGCAGTCTCTGGTCATCCCTGTACTGTCCGAAGTCTCTGGTCATCCCTGTGCTGTCCGCAGTCTCTGGTCATCTCCTGTACTGTGTCTGCAGTCTCTGGTCATCTCCTGTACTGTGTCCGCAGTCTCTGGTCATCTCCTGTACTATGTCTGCAGTCTCTGGTCATCTCCTGTACTGTGTCCGCAGTCTCTGGTCATCTCCTGTACTGTGTCTGCAGTCTCTGGTCATCTCCTGTACTGTGTCTGCAGTCTCTGGTCATCTCCTGTACTGTGTCTGCAGTCTTTGGTCATCCCTGTACTGTGTCCGCAGTCTCTGGTCATCCCTGTACTGTGTCCGCAGTCTCTGGTCATCCCTGTACTGTGTCCGCAGTCTCTGGTCATACCTGTACTGTGTCTGCAGTCTCTGGTCATCCCTGTACTGTGTCTGCAGTCTCTGGTCATCCCCTGTACTATGTCTGCAGTCTCTGGTCATCCCTGTACTGTGTCCGCAGTCTCTGGTCATCCCTGTACTGTGTCCGCAGTCTCTGGTCATCCCTGTACTGTGTCCGCAGTCTCTGGTCATCTCCTGTACCGTGTCCGCAGTCTCTGGTCATCCCTGTACCGTGTCCGCAGTCTCTGGTCATCTCCTGTACCGTGTCCGCAGTCTCTGGTCATCTCCTGTACTGTGTCCGCAGTCTCTGGTCATCCCTGTACTGTGTCCGCAGTCTCTGGTCATCCCTGTACTGTGTCCGCAGTCTCTGGTCATCCCTGTACTGTGTCCGCAGTCTCTGGTCATCCCTGTACTGTGTCCGCAGTCTCTGGTCATCCCTGTACTGTGTCTGCAGTCTCTGGTCATCCCTGTACTGTGTCTGCAGTCTCTGGTCATCCCTGTACTGTCCGAAGTCTCTGGTCATCCCTGTACTGTTAATTAGTTTGCACTACTGTACGAGTTGTTTTTTCTAAACCAAAAGCTCGATATTCAGGTTTCATTGCAGTGTTGGCACTTTGAAAGAAATAAGTTGGTTTTGGGTTGCAGTTTGGGCACTCGATCTCAAAAAGGTTCGCCATCACTGGTCTAGGGTATGGGATGCTCCAAAACACTTGCACAGTAACAGGAGGACACATTTCTCTAGGCTCACACTCCAGAATTCTGCTGAGGACAGGGGAATGCCTGGTACTCTGAGACCTTATGAGAGCCATCTCTGTCCAAGCTAGGTTTGGCACTTATATCCCCAAAAGGCACAAAGACAACAGAAATCAATTCAGGGTCTTTACTCACCAGTCCCCAGGACAGCTGCCACCTTCCAGCTTCCTCCAAATATGGTCCAGCGAGGGAGACAATCCTTCTCCAGACCAGATTTCTTTTGGTATAGTCCTATAGCCAGCTCCTCAGAAGATCTCTCAAGGTCCTCACCTCTGCCACAGCTGAGATCTCAAGAACAGCAACACCATCTATAGGCTGCCTCATGGCAGCAAACCCTTGGCCTTCGCAACCCTCCCTGTCGAGGAAAGAACAATCTCTCCAAAGCTTCAGACTATTTATTACCCACATAGCCACCTTCTGGACACTTCTCTTCAGGGATTGACTAAGGCACAAAAAATATTCAGGCTGGTCATTTGAGACTCCTTTCCTATGTTCTGGAAGCTCATTCCAGACGCAGGGGAAAGCAATAAAACTCCCAGCCTGTGAAACCCTGCACAGACCAGAATAAACAGTCACCGCTGCCTTGACTACAGAAGGGGCCAAAAACGTAATTTTCCTAGCTAGGAGGGTGCTACACAAGTGTAAATGAACTCTTACACTAATGTGCATTGAGAGGTGCCAAACAAAATCACCACCTGTGTGAAGGAACCCTTTCACTACTACAATGTATTGCTTTTTTGCACACAGTCATCGCCCTTTGTGTTACCCACTACTACAAAAAAAAATGTCACATGTGTCTACTAAAGCCTAACAAATCTTCTTTAAATCATGGGCCTCCGGCCGTGGAAGTTCAGAGCTAATACCTGGGACTTTGAAATAACTTCTATGATTATTTTTTCTGTCTGTCCTAAAGAAAAACAGCCACATTCATAGACAGATTCTCATTACGCGAGAGTAACGGCTTTCTGTAAAGATATTTGGTCCAAGTGATGATTATAGCTGTTGGAATGAAGACATTGGTGATGACAGATTGTCTCGACAAGGAGGAGGAGATTGGAAAAAGGGGGAAAGAGCGAAAAGAACAATGGAATCTGCGGTCGCCTTATAACAGACATAACCTTGTAAGCGCCGAGAAGACGAGAAACAATCTTCACACTGATGGCTTAGAATATAACACCGGTGACGTCCACGGGCGGCTTGACAGCTTATTTTAAGGATGGAAGCAAACATGGCATTTTGCGATTTTCATCTGCTCACTTAATATCTCGACTGATGTATCTGCAACCTCCTGTACATCTGCATGATTTAACTTTCCCCGGCTTAGTCAGCTTACAGACTCCTGATAGGAAATATAATGATAGAGAAAAAAATATCCTCCATATTCACGGGATTCTCTCCAACTCTATATTTGTACTTTTCCTCTCATTTCCCATCATCTTCGCTTGATCTCTATGTGATTAAAAGTTTTAGATCTTACCAGCTGCGGTTAAAGTGGACTTCTCAATAACTTTACACGTCTGCAAGAATAAATTCTAGACATATAACAGTATACAGCGTGTAGCCAGGTGCAGTCTGTACACCCTTCTGTAGGTGGCGCTAGGCTTTAGCAACAATGCAGAAGCAGAAGGAGAATGTGGGGATCTTAGTTCCTCTACGACTTCCTGCTGTCATCAGGAAAGCAGCTGTATGATTGGATGCTGGTGCCTTGATTGACCTCCATGGCCATCTTTGGTGAGGGCAGTGTAACAAGCTGTCAAGGTCCTACCTTTTCCCAGAGGTTGTTACTCCATGTGCTGGCATCCATCTTGGATTTCTGCTGAGCATGGTGGGAAGCTTTTATGCCTTCAGGTCTCTGAGGTCCATCCCCCAGAGGGGTGTGGCTGAGTACATATAAGCCTGTGATCCGCACATGCTCTTTGCACTTGTGTCTTGTGTCTTGGTCTTGCTACAGCTCTGTGTATACGCTCGTGACTCTTCTGGTATTTGACTCGGCTTGTGACTAAGACCATTCTCTGTGGTTTCCTTCGATCTGACCTTCCGTTGCTGAACCCGGCCCGTGACCTGTGATTCTCTGTCTGCTGTTCTGTACTGTTTTGTCCCGTTGTCGACCCGGCTTGCCTGACTACGCTATTGTCATTCTCACCAGCTACACGCCATTGGCGGCCATTTCCGCAGCCGGGGTGTTTCGGGGGCTGCGACCTGGTTCCTGGCTGCGTCAAGTCCATCCCCACCATCAGGGGCCCTGGTGAAGGGCAGCCTGGGACTTAGACTCCGTGCCCTGAGGGACTTCGGTCTGTTGGTGGTGGTTGTCGTCAGCCAGTGCATTACCCTGCCACTAGGCCTACCTGTCCGTTCCACAGCCCTGCCCTGACACAAGCGTATACAAAGAGACTGACGCAGCCTCCATTTTAAGAATCTTCATATTTCTCCCTCATTCTTCCCCCCCCTCCCTATCAGAGAGGCCCAGTGACATTTGGCCAGATGTGTGTGAGTTAGGAATGTCACAGGAGGGTCATAGGAGCTATAAAGCCACCCAAGGGAGCCTGGGCCTCCCTGTCCAAAGAACCTGCAAATTGTAACACCTCCGAAGAGATAAGGCAAGCTTTCCCAGGAGTTGAAAGAGATTCCAACCTAATAAGCCTAACTCAGCGTAGGTGACAGAATCAGATAACCTTTGTTAAAATCCATCTTTCCACTATGTCTCATATCTTGGAATATGAGAGACTTACTTACGTCAGATGGGCAATGAGCAGGCAAACAGTTTGATAGGTCACTCGCATTGTCTCGGATACATAGGAAAACAGAAAAGTAGATCTTGTGAACCGTACAGTGTATAATTTCATAATTCATATCTAATCAATCCTCAGATGTCTCTGCATAATAATCTACCCGGGGGTGGAATGTCACTTGTGCAGCTGGAAAGTTATGGGCCAAAATATGAGTTATGGGAGATTTTGGCTCTAGTTGAGGTATCCACCCATACCTATACGCCCTAAATGGGGTATTGGTCCTTGACTTCAGAGACACCCCCTGCTGGGGACTACAGAATAGGCTGTCAGGCCTAAGAGTGGGAGTTGAAGACATCTCCCATTTTAACATCAATACCACCTGGGGAGACCTGTGCCCTTTTGCTCTGAAACTTGGATCTGCTAACCCAGGACTTTGGCAAGTACCTTAACCCTTTCACCTCTCTCTGATATCTCTTTGCTGTGCTGTTAGTCTCTGTATGTTTATATATATATATATCTTAGTTACATCTTTTTCTGTAAATATTTTTATTGCACCTGTTTGGCCTTTTAGTAATAAATTTCTTTCCTTCTGAAAGTGCTTTTTTGCAATTTACGAATTCCTGCCTCTAAAGAGACGCTACTGTGTTTGTGTAACCCTCTGCATAATCGGCCTGTGGTGACCGTATTATTGTCAGGGGTGCGGGTGTGATCAGAAGTGTGTGGACTGTCACAGGGAAACGTAGGCTTCAGATATAGTAAATAATATAATTTATTAAGACTAACAATACAAATATAAACGCAGTGCACCAAACCCCAAGCTAACACAAATACATACAACAAGGTGAAACAAACCCAAACCTAAACTGGTATAGATACACAGGTACATACACATATAGAGCACAACGTAGTCAGGCAGGCTGGGTCGATAACTATCGGGCAGGTAGGTACAGGAGGTCAGGCAGAGAATGGTCAGGGTCACAAGCCAGGGATCAAACAGGAGAAGTCAGCAGAGGTCAGGATCAGGCAGGGTCGGCAACAAGTCAGGCAGAAACAGGAACAGTAACAGGAATGCAGGTTACAAGATACAGGGGCCATGGGAAAACACACACCAAGGCACCGACTGCAGGTCTGGCCATCCCTTAAAAACACCACCTGCAATCAGCCCCAGGTGATGGCTAATTGCCGAAGTGAACCTCTGGTTGTTGAGAGCACCCGCTGGCCAGACCAGGTACTGCAGCCCACAAGGCAGGTGAGTCCCACCACTATTGGCAAGCCCATTCCTGACAATTATGCAGACGATTATCTCAACCATTATAGTGTTTTAGATGATATTGCCGAGTTTCCTCTTTCTCTGTACAAAAAGGAGGTGGTGTCAGTGTGAAGGGTTAATTGCGTAATTAACCTGACCCAGTAACAATCGCTCAGGCTGCCGGTACATCGATTGTGGTCCAATTAGTTGTAAAATCGTTGTGCAGGGTGCAGCTGGGTGTGGCATTGTTACGCACGTGACATTGCGGTTTTAGATCGGCTAGTCCTTCGGTCACGAGTTTGGTGAGAAGGTCTGGGGTCTGACGCCGCGATCGTGACAGGCAGTACTCATTTAAAGTGATAATAAACCGCCACAAAAATAACAAAAATCAGGCCCCTGCAGGTTTAAGTCATAATGCACCACATACTAGCACATTATGACAGGACCTGGACATAAAGCCCTCTAGACAGCACTGTCATGGCTCCCCAGCACTTCCTTCTTCTGGATTTGCTGGCTCCGACTGTAAGAATGGCAGGGGGCGTGATGACGTCACTCCTG